CAGACTCAGTAGCAAGGTGACCGTGATGTAACCCGTGGCCTTGTTCCACTGGAGAAAGTTCAGCAGAGGCCTTTGAATCTTCTCCGCCAAAGCTCTGGTGTTTCTGCAAGAGTGACTTGAATTCTGACTTTTTCTTTTACGTAAGCGTACAAGAATGATGTTTAAACTCTCCGATTCTGTCCATAAAATGCATGATTTGGTAACATACTGCCACAGCTATGTGCACATGACTTAGGAATCTGTTTACAATGGTGTTTTATGATACTCCTTGTAATATGCTGTTTTCTTGATGCAATTGCAATGCTTTTAAATAAGAATTGTAATTCTGTTTTTTTTAAATTAAGGGCTTTAATTTTTCATTATAATTGTAAAGAACTATAAAGTTCTTATTTTGATTCTGAAACTTTAAATTACTTTTTAAAAGCTATCATAGCTTTGTCTCCGTTGTGCAGGGCGATTTGCTAAACTTTGTTCTTATTTTTTAAAGCAATTGAGAGTTTGTGTTCTCCATGAATTTTAAGCACCAGGACAGTCTGTCTCCTATTCTTAGGATTCCCCCGCCCCTCCAAACAGTAAGAAAGCATTGATATTGATGGAGTATGAATTACTTTAAGTCTTTTCCACGTTTACTGTCTTTATTTTTTTTTTAAATCAAGAACTGTCTGAATAAGGGAACTGTTCTGATTGGAGAATTATGTTTACCGCCTGTGTGGTTCTTGATTGTCTACAGATCTGTTGGTGTTCAGATGTTGGGCACATACTAGTGTAATGGTCCAGATTAAGCCTGCATTTGCCTTCAGAAATCTATAGTCTGATGAGCGAGAGATGTGCCCATTTTAAGATGTGGTCCTGCTTCCCCTCCCCGTGGATGGTAGAAACTGCTGTTTATGCTTCCTTTCCCTGTCCCAGACATCAGTGATGCACGTCTCATCCTCAGGTCCTTTGTCCAGGCTGTTTGCAGCCGCCTGTATCGTTATGATTCTGGAAATGTGCTGTTGTTTGGAACTTAGTTGAGTTTGTTTGGTAATAGAAATAATATTATTGCTAAATAAAAAAACCCAGAAAAACAGAAAAAAAGAAGAAATAATATTATTGAATCTCTAGATTGATGTGCTGGTTGATGGTATTTCCAAACCAAAGACTTGACTATAAGTGTTTGGCTGCTAAGTAAGTACCACTGTCCATATCCACGTCCAGTCCTGCCCTCACACAGCGGAGGGGAACTCTACCTGTAACATCAGTTCTCGGGACGAGTCTGGCAGGAGAAAAATGTACAGCAGTGGGAGCCATAGCAGTGGGGACAAGAGCAGATTATGGAGGACATCACACTGGCCATTTCAGTTCTCATTTCTACAACTTCTTTCATGCCTGGACTTTTCAGAGGCACGGGGCAGAGGGCAGGGAAGCGGGGTGGGAGTGGGGAGGGGCTGGGTAGCTGTAAGCCACACATGATGTGATATTTTCCGGCTACTTCTCTTCTTTAGTGAGTCGATATTTCACACCCGATTAGCATATGCAAATTATGCCTGATGGTGGGACAGTACAGGCTCTAAGCATTTGCTGTCTGTGAAGCAAAGGAACAATCCCAGAATGAAGACATTGGTGCCAGTTACCAATGTAACTGATGGCAGAAAACATGTTTTCTTTCCCCGCTTCCAGCTGTTTTTATTTTTTTTCCTCCTTCGATGCTAGTCAGCAAGAATTTTTTTCTCATTTTTTTTAATTCTATTTTTTTAAAAAGAAAACTATCTTTTTCATTTTACATACCAATCCCAGTTCCCACTCCCTCCCCTCCCCCCATTTCCTCCTTGTCTCAATGTCATTTCAGACCTCTTCCTATTTTTTTTAAAATTATCTTTTAATTTTTACTATTTACATATATGTGCACACACACATACATATATATTTACCTCTTTATACCCTCTAGGTCCCTTGCTTCCATATTATGGCTTCCAGTTTAATGTTTTATGTGATTCCTGAGTGTGTGAATGAGAGTGTTTCTGTGTTTATTATATCTATTTCCTATTTCCTATGATTTTTCTAGGGCTCTTTTCTTTCTGCTTGTTTATTTTGTCTTATTCCAAAGGGATGATTCCCAGATCTTCCAATACATCTTCCAAATGGGTACATAAAATGGGTACATGAAGTCCCATTTTAAGCTTGTTTTCTAAGATTGTGAAGATGTTTACCTGCATCAGCATACATTTTCTTACTATTTTTTTGCTTGAAATCCTCACACTGGTTCTGGAGGGTTGACTCAGAGGTTGAAGGTGCTTGCCGATCTTGCAGAGAACCTGAATTTTCTTCCCAACACCCACATCCCAAATACCCAGGAGGCTCACAGCTACCTGTAACTCCAGTTTCAGGGCTTCAATGCCCCTTCTGGCTTCTGTGGGCACCCACATGCATGTAATACACACACACACACACACACACACACACACACACACACGAAAGTGAGAGAGTGAGACAAAGAGAGAGAGAGAGAGAGAGAGACAGAGACAGAGACAGAGACATACCACCACACACAGAGAAACATATTTTAAAAAATTAAAATATTCAGATTATACAAAGCACTTAGCAAGATGATTGCCCAGTTCGGGTCTTTTATGCCATTCAGAAATGTATTTAAAGTTGCACGTAAACCACATTTACAATGTGCACACATACACATTTAAGCACGTATGTATATATAAACCTTCTATAGCATTTTGCCCATCTCTTCTCCTGTGCTTCTTTCTACAGCCTTGTCACGTTTCAGAGCATCCCATTTTATGGTTCAGAGGGAAAACCAAAAAGCATCCTGATAGTCTAATGGCCTTACAGTTCATTAGAGACAGAGCTGGAGCAATTAGATTCCTTTCTGGTTTTTCCTCCTTTGTATAATTCTCTGGTAGGAGAGTGATATGCACTAGAACTTGGCTACCAAAGACATTCTGATTGGTAGGTAACCAAAGAAGAGATGTTTGTGGATGCAGTGTGACTTGAATGCAGTTAAAAGTGAAAACCCTGTTGGGAAATTTCTCCTTAGCTGACAATAGGTGTTGCCAACAGTGCCCTGTATAGCCGCTCAGCAAACGGTGGGCTGTCCGCGAGAGCCTCCTGGACATTTCCTTAGGGAGCAGCGATTGCTTTGGCTGAATTCTGCTGCTGCCATTTTCCTGGCAGCACAGAGTCCGTAGTCAGACAATTGGAGGAGGTACCCATTTTCTAATAACCACTCCAGGCTGTTGGCACCTAACTACCTGGCACTGTCTGTTCCATGCAACTTGTCAAGTCAATCTGCTTGTCTGACTTTGCTGGGAAACCTGGTACTGCCTCTCAAGAGCTTTGCAACAGCTGGACCCAGCGTCTGCCCTGCAGGTGTTCAAGGCGGGAGGTTAGATCCGCTCAGACAAGTGAAGAGCAGAGAGAGAGAGAGGATTCAGAGTGGTTCGCATTTGCAGCTCTTCTCTCTGTGTTTCTACAGTGTTTGAAATCAGGATGTGGTCCTGAGTGAAGGACTCCAGGAAACACTTGGATGTTCATTCTGTCTCATTTGCTTTCTTGAACCCCTCATAGATTGACTTCATCCTGTTTCAGAGTCTATAGCACGGTGTTCCACCCCACCCCCCCTTCCTGTGCACTCCTTCCTCTGGTTTGTGGGCTCTGCAATTGCTTCATCTTCCCCCTTTGAGGGGCTCCCTGAGCTGAGGGTGGCTGAGACTTTCTGTGGCTTCGGCTCTCCTTATGCAGAGTCAGCCCAGCCTTTCCTCTCCCGAAGGATCTCTTTCCAGTCTGTCCATAGCGCTCCCATTTTCCTCATCTGGTTAAGTGAGAGTTAGATCCCTTTCCAAACTTGAGTTCCTAATGTTTCCATCCCCTAAGGAGTCATGCCTAGAAAACAAACAGAAATGTGTTAAGCTTGGGATTGACTTGGCGACTTTTGCAAACCCCAGATAACTTCACTGTGTAGCTGTTCTGGAAGAACTTGCTTAACAATCTGTTACTTTGTCTGAACTTTCTCGAAGGACAATTATGTGCAAAGCCTCTTAAAATTAATGCTCCGAATTCGAAGTTGGCAGCTTCCTACTAGGGCTCTGGAAGGCTCCTATATCCTGGAGATGAAGTCTTCTTATGGCAAGCCTAGGTGTATATTATTTAAGGAACCCCTCATTCGTGAGAGCCTGTGTCTGATCCCCAGCATAGATAAACAACACCCCACACCACATACATTTCCAGAAAGCTTTAGGGCAGCAGTTCTCTCCCTGTGGGTCACAACCTTGGAAAACACGCATTTCCGATGACCTTAGCAACTGAGACACCTCCAAGGAGCAAAATTGTGGTTTGAAGTAGCAACAAAGATAGGATTATGGTTGGGGGTTCCTAAAACCATCGGAAAAATGTGTTTTGATCACAGGTCGAGATCTTGCTGTTTGAGGAAGTTTTAAAGGAGAACCTTAAAATATTCCATTATTGTTAGTGGCCAGAGAGCCCTTCCCCCACTGAGGACAGTTTATGATAGTACTCACACTGAAACCTCCCAGGGATTTTATGTTTAGCTCATACATGCCGTCTGTCATCACCAGCCTTATGTAAGAGAGCTCACCGACCACGGTCAGGAACCTTATCTTGAATTAATTAAGATACTATGGGTAGCCATTGACATTTCACTAGCCGTGTTTTGAAAGAAGATCTACTTTAGCCTGGGCTTAAGTGATGACTGTGGTTTCTCCAAGCAAGGCAGGTTTTGGTAGCTGGGGAGACAGGATCGCCTTACTCTTATTTCTGAATTTCTAATGAATTTGTACTTGTGACTTTAATAGGCTTTACTGATTCTTTCACTAAAACTTGAAGATTTTAAGAGTTTCTCCTCCACACACACACACACACACACACACACACACACACACACACACAAACCCCACCAACTTCAGAGTTGTCTTATCTAGCACTCTTGAAATTATGAAGGCACAGACCATGTCTGACTCCCTGAGTCACTTCCTGTTTTTTTTTTTCAGAGCCCTCCATGTTCTCTAGAGAGAAACGAAGGCATGGCATTAGAGACAGCCACATTCTCATGACAGTATAGGATGAACAAACACCAGTGAGGCATCTGGGAGACTGAGGTAGGAGGATCATGGGAGATTAAGACCAGCCTGGGCTACACAATGAATTCCTGAGCAGCCTCGGCTATGTGTAAGGGAAAAAAAAAACCATTAAGAATGTATTTAACACTTTTTAAGAAGAGACGTGGTCTAGATTTTCAATTACTGAAGGATTGAGACCCCCCCCCCCACCCGTGGGTGGATAGAGCTGAATCTTACAGGCACGTGGAAGACCTAGGCAGCCCGTCTAGACATCAGTCATGGTGCATGCTCTATGAAGAAGGCTGTGGGTGTGATCTTGCTGTCCTTTCATCCGAACACCTAGAATCTGGCCAATTTCCTGCTTTGTCTTTGGACACAGTCAGCCTGCAAATCCCTCATTTGTTTATTTAGTCCAGAGCAGTACTATGGAAACAATAACCATTGCATTGGCCTGTGCTGGTGCTCATGACAAGCAGTTGATCTGCATTGGTTCCTCTCGTCGTCCTCGTAGTGATTTTGTGAGTTAGGATTGCCGCTTTCTTTCTTTCTTTCTTTCTTTCTTTCTTTCTTTCTTTCTTTCTTTCTTTCTTTCTTTCTTTCTCTCTGTCTCTGTCTCTGTCTCTCTCTCTCTCTCCCTCCCTCCCTCCCTCCCTCCTTGCTTTCTTCCTTTCTTTCTCACTGATGAAGAAACCGGCCTTAACGAAATAAATTCTCCAAGCTCACGCAGCTGCTACACAATGCTCTTCCCCACGTCGATAACTGATGCTTCTTTGTGAATTTAGAGCACATGACATCCAAGAGAGGCTTCCTATGCACTAAAGCAGATGTGGACGACCACAATCAACAGGCCGTGCCAAACAGGCCACAGTGCTAATGATCGCTTCTGATTATAAACCTACTTGATGCTGGAAATTTCTTTTTATGATAACTTTGAGTTATCTTAAAAGAGGTATTCTTGCCTTTTTTTTTTAATATGAAAAAAAAAACCCCAAAGTTCAGAGAGGCTAAGATATTGGTCTGGGATGATGTAAATAGCTTGCAATGCAGCTGACGATGAAATCAAGGTTGGACCTTACTGAAAGTTTAACTCTTTACACTCCCTGACTTCTTGTTGTGATTAAACTCAGATTTGTTATTTGTCATATCCCTGCCACTTTTCCTTAAAAATATTTACTTGTTTATATTGAGGCCTAGTTGACAAAAGTTCTAAATATTTATTGCTCCCAGTATGAGGTTCTGGTATATGTATAACACCACAAAGTGGTTATATCAAGGTAATTAACAGTCTGTCACCTTACATACATATCAGTATTTTTTTTTTTTTTTTTTTTTGGTCATGAGAGCATTCCCAGTTCACTCTTTTCAGTCTTCTCTAGTTCTGCTAACTGACTCCTGGGATCTAAGGTTCAGACTGGTGCAGTCTTTGAATTATAGGTTTATCGTGTGAAGTTCATTGATCACTGTTGCTGTTCCACCCACAACGCTCTTGCAACCAACTTGCTTTCCACATACCCAAGATCTTGGGAAAAGATTAGTTCAATGAGTCTTTAAATGGTTTTTAGTACATATTCTGCTAAGGCACGTGGCAGTAGAGTTGCTCACGTCTCCCTGCTTTTGCTTCTTTTTTCATTCCTCCTCCCTAAAGTTGGAAAGTGAGAGGGGCTTGAGAAAACACTATTCCTTGAGAATTCTCACCCTGTTACATTTCTAGATAGATGAGTAATTTCTGCGAATTTGATGTGGCCTATCCCATGCTGACCGTTAGAACTCTGAAATGATGAAAGATGTTGCCCTTTGAAGAAATATTTGAGAACTATATGTTTTAGTTTGAGCCATTTAAAATCTGTACTGAATACTTCTTGTATCCCGTATACTTGAGCGCAGCACTGTAAAACAGTGTGGCTGGGACACAAAGAATGAAGAGTGTGTATACGTATATATGTACATATATCTATATCCCAGATGACTTGATAAATATGTGTCATTATGGAATAAAGCAATACAGTTTGATGTGCAGTGTTCTGTAGGGTGTTATGAAGTATGAGATTATTTTTCTTAGTGGAGTTGGGACATGCAATGTAAAATGGTAGCCTTCTAGCTCTGTCTTGAAGGATGGATAGTATGGATGGGGAGATGAAGTTCTCAGGCCAAAGAACAGGAGGAGCCAACTGAGTAGTGAGATAATGGGGGACAAGCCTGGTGTCTCCAATCAAGGTCCAGGTAAAGAAATGGAGGGATGAGGTTCTACGGTGAATAAGGAGACACATTAGTTGAGTTGACTAATCTTTCTGTCACCACCCCTCCTGGCTCTCTGTCCTCGGTCTCTTTCTTGGTTTATTTTTCTTACCCTGATCTCTCTACCTGTGGACTGATGCCAGCAACTCTGTTTTCCCAAGATGCTAGCCCTTCAAGACCTTTGAATAAACGCCCTCTGCATTCTAGCGACTGCCAAACCTTGAAGTAAATTTCTCCAAAATTTAATACGTGGAGAATGCACAACGAAGTCTCTACTCAGTGTCTTCCCTTTGATGTTTAATTAACTGTGCCCCAATCGCTACTCCAGATGCTTCATTTCTCCATCTGTTGGATGCCCGTTCTCCAGCAGCGCTCACCATCAAAGCGAGTCCTGTGGCTTATTTTCCCCAAACTAGGAGTTATTCTAGATTTTTGTATTTGTTCACATCCCTCTCAAATGATAAATTATTTTGATTCTACAACTACCTAGCCCCAAAGAGGTGAATGCCTTTTTTATGATGAGGCTTAATGGTTTCATGGATTATTTTGATAAAGATGGGAGTTCAACCAAAAATATCGACTCAATTGAGAAATACTTTCAATTCTTCTCTAGAAATGAACTTATAAGTGATCTAGAAGAGTCATGCATTCTTCTGGTTTCAGGTGTGTTAGAGTTTGTTTTCTGTTACACTCCCAAATAGCCCTTGCCGCCTCTTGCCTGTAGACACCCAGGTACAGTATGTTAATTTTACAAGTATATATATATATATATATATTTATATATATTTACAAGTATATATTTATATGTGTTTTATTCAGTGGAAATTGCATTTTAAAGCTCACACTTTTATCAAGATAACTTAAAGTCTTGAAACACGGGATAAAGACAGACGCAAACTCTAGTACAAATGGCACTTTGTCTAGGCACACATGACAAGACAAGAAGATATAGTTCTAGAAAGAGGATGTATTGCTGTGAGGAAACGCCATGACCAAAAGCAACTCATGGAGGAAAGGGTTTATTTGGCTTACGCTTCCACGCTGCTGGGCATCATCGACAAAAGGACAGGGCAGGAACTCACACAGTAGTAACCTGGAGTCAGGGCTGACGCAGTGAGGCAGAGGCTGTGGAGGGTGCTGCTTACTGGTTCGCTCTCCATGGCTTGCTTGCTCAGTCTGCTTTCTCATAGCATCCAGGACCACCGACTCAAGGGCAGCACCACCTGCAACCAGCTGAGCCCTTCTACACCCGTCACTAATTAAGATGATGCCCTACAGACTTGCTTACAGCTGGGTCTAGATTATGGAGACAATTTCTCAAACGAGATTCCTTCCTCCCAGAGAACTTAAACTTGTGCCAACTTGATGTAAAACTAGCCAGCATAGGCGGTTTAGTATATAAAATAGATTAAATTTGTTTCGCCTCTCTGTAGGCCTCAAAATTTAGACTTTGGGCTGGAGTCAGTGGTCTGAACACACAAAAGCAGCATGCTATTCCAGAGGACCTGGGTTTATTCCCAGCACCCACATCCTGGCTCACCATCTCAAACTGCAGTTACAGAGGACTGGGGTCCTCTTCTGGCCTATGGGGGCACCAGGCACTTATGTGGTAGGTAGGTACACAGACACACATGCAGGTAAAACATGCATAAACATAAAACCACTTTAAAATAGTTATTTTTATGTAATTCTCATGTAAGTTTCAAGGTATTTTTATTTTGATTGATGCTGATAAAATTGTCACCCCCTTATGTTCATTTGTCTTTAGTACTCCCAGTGAACCCCATCACCAACACAGAAGTGTCATCCTCAAATTGATGTGAGTTCTAGGCCAGTCTGGGATACTTAGCAAAGTTGGGCATGAGGAGTAGTGGGTAGGGAGTGCCCAGAGGGAGGAGGAAGAGGAAGACGAGAAGGAAAAGGGGGGAGAAAGATGCTTCAGAGAGAAATGTGAACTTAACAAGAAGACAGACAGAACCATTCCTGAAAATGATGCTCAGAAGGACTGTGTGTCTGTATTTCCTGCTGGACTTTTCAGTGAAGCTACTACGTAAGTTAAACTATAAACAAAGTGGTTGCATTAGTCAGGATAAATCATGTTATGCTGTGGTTACAGACAGCCTCAAAAACCTAGTGCATAAACAGAATCATTCTCACTTGAGCATGTGTTCACACAGGATCCACCTGGGCTCTGCTTGTTGAACTTCCTCCAGAACACAAGCTAATGAAACAGCTGTCTTTTGGTCACTCTAGCAACTTCAAAAGCCAAAAGCTTTGAAGAGACTTGTATTATAATTTATATCTGATATGGAAGTTGTGGTAGTTTGAATGTAATTGGCCCCATCAGTTCGTAGGGAGTGGCACTATTAGGAGGTGTGGCCTTATTGGAGGAAGGGGATGGACTTTGGGGTCTCATATATGCTCAAGCCATGCCCAGTGTTTCAGACCACTTTCTATTGCCTTCAGGTCAATATGTAGGATTGCCAGGTCCTTCTCCAGCCCCATGCCTGCCTCCAGGCCGCCATGTTGCACCATGATGATAACAGACTAAACCTCTCAAAATGTAAGTTTTTCCTTTACAAGAGTTGCTGTGGTCAAGGTTTATTTCTCCTTATAGCAACAGGAATCCTAACTAAGACAGAGTGAAACACGTTTCCTTATTTATCCGATTTTATTTCTATTTTAAATATATGGGTGTTTTATCTGCATGTCTGTTTATCTGTGCACCACGTATGTGCAGTGCCAGTAGAGGCCAGAGCCTTAAATCCTCACCACGACAGTGTGGGTGCTGAGAACTGAACCCAGGTCCTATAGAAGTTCAGTAAGTGCTTTTCACTGCAGAGCAAGCTCTCTAGACCCTGAAACACGCTTTCATGTTACTGGCTAGTTAGAACTAGACTCAGCCCCAAGCAAGGGGTGGGGAGGATGAAAAGCCTGGGCAGTCAGCACGAATAAAGACCAGTGAAAGATAGTGACTCTGAGTTCGCGGTTCTCTTCCAAGCCCCCCATTTCTAGAGATCTGCGGAAAAAAACCTGCTTGTCAATAAAGAATGGAATGAAGGGGGCTAGAGAGATGGCTCAGCATTTAAGAACATTGCCTGCTCTCCCAAATGTCCTGAGTTCAATTCCCAGCAACCACATGGTGGCTCACAACCATGTGTAATGAGATCTGGTGCCCTCTTCTGACCTGCAGGCATACACACAGAAAAAATATTGTATACATAATAAGTAAATAAATAAATATTTTAAAAAAAGAATTGAATGAATTGGATTCAGTTTTCTTTAATTTTCTGC